AGCCATGTTTTTCATTTGGAGCCATAAAAATTTACTTTCATGACCATCAGGTCTGGGTGCTCAGGAAGACAAAGGTCCTTTAAGCCAGTCCCCTGAAGACTACAGGATAGTTGAGACAGAAGCCGTAGTTCCTAAAGCTTGTTGAGAGCCTAAAACCTGAGTGAAACAGCGTCCCCCACCCCTCTACCGTGGAGAGGCAGTGGCTCCCTGTGCAACGCCATTCCCAGTCCAGGCTCCCAGCGTGGACTGTATAGGACAAGGCTCAGGCTACTAGATGGAAGCTACAAGAAAAAATACAAGGCCATTCCTAACTGGCAGAACTTCCTATTAGTTTAAAGCTATTGAGCAATAGAAGGGCATTACCTGCTACCCATCAGACAGTGGCTTTATGGCTGTGCATTGGGGGTATTGTAGATAGCATCACTGGAGTGACAAGGTGAAGCAGGTAACACCTACAGGCACTTCTGGCTATAAGTGCCACAGTCCATGTGCATATCGGTCACCAATGTTGCAGCTATTTCCATAGATACGTGGAAGCTGGAATCTAGCTAGTATCAAGTGGCACACGTGACAAGCATCTGTGCAGAGAGGCAGGATTGTGTAACTCACAAGAAAGCACCGGTTTGGCTTGCAACCTCCACATTCAGGGCTCTGAAGGTAGGGCTCCTGAGCAAGGATTCTGGATTAACAATCTCTGAAGCCCAGTTTATGTACAAAGGTTAGAGCCAGGTGTGTATTGGAACTGCCTCCCGAAAGCAGCGGGTCCAAAGGCAAATGCTCAAGGGGGGGCCATCCTTGGCCCATTGCTCTGGACCCTCAGGTTGCTCCATAGACATAAGGAGTAGGATGTCAGGGCCACTCTCCTTTTTTTTTTTTTTAACTCTCATTTGCAACTGTCTGGTGTTTCCTCTTGCAATAGGCTTTCCAATCTTCAGGGGATCTTAAAATACTCTGGGAAGATCTCAGTAAACCTGAAACAGCCATGATAGGTCTAGAACATTCTAGACCAAATCCAAGCCCTGAAACTTTCCAAACTCAAGGGTCCCTGAATCTCTCCTCATCTGGTCAAGGGCTTCCCATGATGCTTGCCATCTGATACCTCTCTCTGCCTGTCGTTGGCTCACCACCGCAGCCTCTTTCCTTCTTGCGCCAATCTCTACAGAACCATTGCTCAGGTAATAATAATAGCAACGGTAGCAACACTGACCAAGATAGAAACCATACCGGCCTATACTGACTCCACAGCGATCTGTGTCAACTTTCCTTTTCTAATCCTTCCAAAAGTTCTCCAAAGTAGGTACCTTTGTCACTCATTTTAACATGTGAGAGAGTTGAACTTCCAAGTTTTATTAACTCGTTCAAGGTAGTAAACCCATTAGAAAATCCTGTGTTTGAACTCCAGTCTGTCTGGGTCTCAAGCTCTTGCCCTTAAGCTCATGCTGCCTCGGCTAAAGGCTTCATTTTCACAGAACCTTCTGTAATGTTTCAAGCCCTCCAGTTTTTCCTCCTCAGAATCACCCAAGCATTCCACTTTCGGAAGTGGCAGGCTTTACGGGAAGTAATCGTATGATTTTATGGTCCCAACTCACATGAGGCCTGTCACATCTCAGTGTTCTAGGCCGTCCCAGTGCAGAGAGCCCTCCCAGGCCACCAGGTCCAGCTTGAGGCTCAGAGATTCAAGAACAGAGAAGGCCCTGGGCACAATGTGCCCTTCCTTCTCCAACACCCCCACCTTCTTCTTTTTTTCATTCCGTCTCATCTGTCCCACGTTTTGTTATTTGAGCTTTTATAGGATCATCTCTTCAGGGCAAGGACTTGGTTTTGTTGTCAGTTTTCTGGACTATTTACTTCTTAATACTATAAAAGTAAGAAGTCATGGTAAAAATAAAAGCCGAGATTTTTCACACGAAGACAGACACTGTGAACTACTAGGTCCTGAGCAAACATCTGAAGTCACTAAGGAGGTCTACTTTGTTCTGTTTTCATCTAATTGAAAAGTGGAAGAACAGTTGCTGTTTTTAAGATGCCACATAGGCATACACGTACCTGAGCATGATCCTCTCACTTTGGGGATCTCCAGTGTGTGACAAATTTGTCTGTGGAATTGTAACCTCCTGAAAAGGCATTACCATTTCTCTGCTGAGACTACCTTAACTGCCATGGGTGTGAATGCTGCTGCTAGAATAATTAAATCCCAAATCTTTCATAATCCTATGCTTTCCCTAGAGTAATGTTCAGCATTAGTTATGGAGGAAAATGCAAACAAGTTCATGTATATTCAATAATGAAGCTTCATAGGTCAGGGAAGGAGTGGAATGGAATGAATGCCTAACACCTCCAGAGATTAAGTAATGGTAGTTTGCATTCCTTATTACTTCCTTGACTTGTGTTTACCTGAACTTGAATATATGTATCAAATTGTCCTTTATTAACAGCTAACTCCACACCATGCTTGCTGCATGCGGGTGTGTAACGTCAGTGGCTGTGTAGATCAGCTGCCTATTTCTAAAACTGCAGATTGGAGGGCCTTCCATTTCCATGGTGAAATCATGTAGGGTTGATTGGAGGTAAAATAACCCCTGGGGTCAGTCTCGATGAGGTTCTGAGACAGTAAATGACCCAAATATCAGAGTTTATGACTGGCCACCAGTTGAATCCAAATATCTTGACTCCATAACAATGTTTTGTGGGTTTCTTGTTGTTGCTGTTGATTTTATTTAATGGACCATCCTTGGTAAGTTCCATCCTCTAGGAAAACATTATGTCCTTCAGATTTCAGCTGCAGACTGTCTGAGTTCTGTGTTTGTCTCTACTATTTCCTAACTGTGTGATCACAACAAGTTCCGTACCTCTCTGAGCCTTGGTGTTTCCACCTGGAAAATGGTTAATAACACCTCCTTCATAGGGTCCAAATTACAAGCTGCTGGTCAAATACTTACCTCCTTCCCTGACACAGAAATGGATCCTCTAAATGGTAGGAATTAGTTATCATGTATTTTGCTGGACATGTTTATGTAAACTAACACATAGGAATTGCCTACCTATATTGAGACACACACAGACACACACAGAGATATACAAACACACACACATATGGCAAATGAAGCCCTTAATCACCAGCATAGGTAGTTTTTAAGTGTTTGAGTATTATGGCTTATGAGAATGATACAGTCTTCATTTACCACAATGTATTGTAAACAATTATTTCTTCAGAGTCATAAGCCTGCAACTGCAAAAGAAATGCCAAGGTACATTTTGTTTTCTTCTGTAAGATCTTCAGATTACCCATTAGTCTCTTGAAGGAGAGTCCTAAATCCTGCAAATTTCATTAATCTGAAACCAACTCTCTTAACACTTGTCCTTCCCACCAGTCATCCTTTATATCCATCTTTGGGTTTCAGACCTCCGTGAACACATCATTGTTTTCTATGGCTGAGCATGTGTTTTCTTTGGAGAATGTGGGGGAGCTGTGTTTTCTTTGGAGAATTACTGGATACCCAGTCTGAACTGAATCTCTTGCTAACATTTGAAGATAACCTCTAGAATACCATGTTCTCCTATTTATCAAATTAGAAGCCGCCTTTTGCCTTCCATCTTCCCTGCCAGAAAAGCAGACAGGTCGGAATGAGGAGACGGGCATTTTAGGACTGGCTCTAGCACTAACTGGGTGTGTGGCCTTGATCAAAGTACTTGGCTCCTTCCTCTGAATGTTTCTTCCCTTGTTTGCAAAGTGAGGGCGCGGACTATATCATTTGTGAGAAGATGCTGTGAAGAATGTGGAGGTGAACCAGTTGCAAACCCTGCCCCCATGGGCACTGGGAGCTGGTGGAGGGGACACTCAGTGGAAAGCAGTGCTGTGAGCCCGCTGGAGCAGGGAGTGGGACCAGCAAAAAAGGTGTCTTTTCTGAGATGGGGGTGCTTCCTTGAAAGCTTTTGTGGAGGAGGTGGGATCTGACTCAACTCTGGAGGAAGTAGGATTTCCAGAGTTGCAGAAGGGGATTCCAGCCTGGGAACTGAGCCCAGTGCTGAGTCTGGAAGCAAGAAGGAGCAAAACATGCTTGGAAAATTGTCATCAGTCCAGAGAGCCTGAGACTGCCCCCACTTGAGACCTGGGGACAAAGTCTATAGATGTATTTAATAAATAAAAATATTAACAGAAATTGGTCTTTGAAGGCTGTGTACCTGGAATTTCAAGATAAGTCACTTTTCCTGCTGTAGCTCAAGTTTGGCCATGGAGCAGGTGGCACTAGAATTAATATCCCTGTAGAAACAAAAGGCTCTATGTGCTCGATAAACCATTTTGAAAGTGCTAGTTCATCACCAAAATTCAGGCCACTCATATTTCTCAGGTACCTTGCCTTAGGAGAGAGAGATTTCTCATCCACATCATAGGCTTACATCTCTTGGATGAAATTTTACAGGAAGAGATTGGTCATATATCAAAAGGTTAATGCCTAGCTATTTCTCACCCGGCTACTTTGTAGCCACCGAGCTGCCACAGTGCAGAGGGCAGGGACAGCGAGTTCAAGTTCACTGGTCCTTTTGCCTCTGTCATCCAGAGAGCCCCAGCGGGCCTCGACAACAGCCTCTAGAGCCAGGGGCTCATATCATGCTCCTGTTCTTTCATGGGAGGCGCAGAGCATCTTTTCCTGTAGAGATCAATGCCATGTCCCACCTCCACAGTGATTGATCAGTACATTTATTACACTTTCAGTAGTAAAAATATATAGACTCCAGTCATCTCTGGAGATGCTGAAATAGTCCTTTTTTTCCCCTTGATTTAGGGGAAGGTAGAGAGGGAAGATGTGTGCAGATGATGACATAAATATAAGAGCTCAAATACCTAATTAGCTGAAAGAATCTTGGTTCCCTCTGCACCTTTGACAGAATTGCAGCTGTCAGATTGTAGCTCCAATATTTTATCCTCGTTGCAAGATGTACCTGAGGATGATTTAGAGAGGACGCTTTCTAACGCGAACGCCACTCTGCTTTTTTTCTAGGATGCTTGAGGACGACCTGAAGCTGAGCAGTGACGAAGATGACCTGGAGTCCGTGAAGACCTTGACCACTCAGTGCACCGCCACGGAGCTCTACCAGGTAGGAACAGCTTAGGGCCTGCTTTGGGACCTAAGGGGAGGGAGCAAAAGGAACTGGCACGGTTTTGCCATCCACATGCCTAACCCGTGCGCCATGTCTGGGTTTTGGAAAAAGGGAAAGAAGCAAAGACAGGCACAGGGTCCTGGACCAGGTCGAATCAGCTCCCACTTTCATGAAAGCTGCAGTGAGGAGATGCTGGGCTCTTGGAAACTGCTTTCACCCCCTCCTGCCACTCCCTCCTTGCCCAACACCCATACTGGTTGCCATTAAGCAGTAAGAGATCATCCTCCCCTCTCGTGGCTTCTGTATTGTTTTGGATGAGGCGTAACTTCCCTTTATTGGCTCTAGTGTGAGACTTAGAGCCCTCGCTCATTACTCAATGAGGACATAAAGGTTAGTGCGCCATCCACCTTCCCCAGGGGCACCAGTCCAGAACCCAGCTGAGCCGCAGTACCCAGCACCTTGCAGCTTACGTGAACCTTCAGGCGAAAGGCCTTTGGCAAACCCTTGCTGCAGCCCTGTCTTCTTCCATCCTGTACCATGAGTATTTATAGCACTTACGCCCAAAGTAGATGGCAGAAATGTGTTTTCAGCATTTTCAATGAGACTGGACTTCTTGATTTGAAAAGGCCAGGTTAGTTTTGAACCAGGGGAACAACAGTGTAGTGTGTGGTATCACTGAGGCTTGTGGGAAGTTACTCAGTTTCTCTGGGACAGAGAACTGTCTCACCTGGGGGTCCTCCTGGGTGTGCTTATGGCCTTATGTAAGGAACACAGAGGGACTGCCATTTTTTAAAGCCAATACCTGACCAAGTTCTTTCTACGGTGAAGTCCGCTAAGTTTTACAACAGAAACCAGACTGTCTTAAGGAATGCTCATGCGCTGGTATTTCAAGGTAGTTAACAAGTACAGGATTCCATAGTCACTGAGTATTTCATGAGGAGCCTGCAAGGAAAAGCATTATATGTATAAACTGCATCTTTGCAACTTTGGTGCTTTATTAAGAAGCAATACAACTGTCCCCCGGGGGCTTACTCCAAAGTGAACGCAAGCCACCCCTCTCCTACTTGAGTCATGGTCTTCGGAGCCAGTGTACGTTGTGCACCTCAATTTCAGCGCCCGCCATTCCCACTTTCTGCTCTTCATACACTGATGACAAGAGCATTGTATGGGTAAATTAAACAAATTCCAGGTCATTCATTTTGACAGATGCAACATTACTTTTTAACGGAAATGTTTAAAGCTGTAATCAAGAATAAGTGGAAGTAGATTTTTCACATTCACTTCCTCTCTTTTTAGCTTAAGTTTTTATTTTCTGTATTTACCTGAAGAAGTGGCATCACATCTGTTGGCATTTAGTACATTCACAAGGTTGGGCACGCATCACTGGGTCCAAAATATTTTCGTCATCCCACAAGAATATTCCACATAGGTTTAGCAGTCACTCGCCAGGCCCCATCCCTGACAACCATCAGTCTACTTTCTGTCCCTGTGGCTATGCCAATTTCATAGAAACGAACTCATACCACGTGTGGCCTTTTGTGACTGGCTTCTTTCAGTTCCCATACTGTTTTCTAGGTTCATTCATTTCGTAGCATGTATCAATGCTTCATTCCTTTTTTATGGCTAAATAATATTCTGTTTCATGGATATTCTGCCTTTTGTTTGTCTATTCATCTGTTGATCAACATTTTGTTGTGTCCACATTTTGGCTATTGCAAATAGTTTTGCCAGGGGCATTTGTGTATAAGTTTTTCTTGGAACACTTGTTTTCAGTTCTTTTGAACTGAGTCTTTCAAATCTTTCCATTCTTCCACCCAGAAGGAGAATTCTATCACTTAGGAATTCTAGGTTTAACTTACTGAGAAGCCATGAAAATTGCTTTCTTTTCAGGTAAGATAACACAGTGGCATGTAGATAATATGATACTATTCTCTTATCTTATAATTGGGACTGTCCTACCTCCAGCAACATCAGGAGGAATGTTGAGAGCTCCTATTTATGGAGCCACCCTTGCTGTGTGCCAGACATTTAGCTAGGTGCTGTCTTATTCAAACTTCACAGCAAACCTTAGTGAGAGGTTCAGGCTTCCCGTCTGAGCTATGGATTGCAGAATTATTCTATTTGTGGCAGGATGGTTGGGGAAAAACATAGAAAGACTTTATGCTATGGTTTGCAGCATAAAGAATCCTAAGAAGATGCATTTCCCATGCATGAATGAAAATGAAACACAGGATCGAGACATGTCAGTTTTTAATTTGGCATTTCAGTCCCAAGCCTCCCATAGTCAGAACAAGACTACTCTCCATGCCTCACCAAGCACTCTCCATAGAGCTACCAGCCATGCCGAGTAGGCCGTGTGCAAAAACACCAATAGAGCAAGTATGATGTGTTGAAAAGCTAAGGATTATTCCTGCAAATGGGAAAACAGAGCATGAGGTGAGAATGGGCAAATTATAATACACAAATTAAAGGCACCACATGGTCAGCTATGGAGACTTAGGGTTATAAAAAAAATATTTTAAACACAAGATTTTACCTTCTATTGACTCTTTAAAATCATAGATGCACAATCCCATTTAAACATGGTTTCAGTGAAAAAGCGATGGTGATTGTACCCTGAAAAAGTATCTGCTTACATCTAGAGAAACACATTCACCATTGCATTTTATTCTCAGTTGGGACTATTTGGGAAGCAGATATGTCCATGCTGTCTTCTCAGGCGGTGTGGCTGGGCTGGCACTGTGTAGGAGAGCTAGCGGGAGCATAGGTATGTAGTCCGATAGACACCGGTTTGAATCCTGACACTGTCACTTACTGGGTGACCGTGAGCTAAAGACCGAAATGTGTATGAAATGGAAGTAACAAGAGCACCTACTTCGTTGGACCCTAGTGACGATTCGGTGATGAAGTAATGAATGCATGCAAGCTCACGCGACACTATAGTAAGCACATAAGTGCTCGTCCCTTTACATGATCAGCAGCGTCATTGTTCCTGCCACTAATAACAATGAAATATGTCTCATATTCTTTGAGATGCCAGACACATTCTTTTCCCTTTTCTTATAAGGAATGGGATTTTAAAGAGAGCTGCTGACTTAACTACCTGGAAAATAGCCAGAATATAACAACCTTGAATGAAGAATTCTGACTTGTCCTAATATGCAGTGACTGTGTGTGCCTAGCTGTGAGGAATTGTAAGTGTAGTCCTTAAGAGCACGGTTTTCGAAACAGAGAAGCCGGGGTTTCCATCCCAACTCTATCACATACTAGCCACGTTAGATGGGAAACTCACCTACTATCTTTAAGTCTCAGATCTCTCACCAATAACCTAGGATAAACCAGTTTCCTCTAACTCACTGGAGTAGGGGGAGGATCAAATGAAGCTCATGTATAAGAACATGCTTTGAAAACCACAAGCACTCCACAAATAGGCAGTTATCCTTCTGAATGGCCCTTTGAAACATAAACTGGAAGTCCCCTCTTTTGGATCCATTGGTAAATAGATCTTGCCTTTCATTGCGGCCTTGGTGGCCACAAAGATCTGCCAGGAACTAGGCTGAATGTCCTAACCACACCCCCAAAGGCATCCGTTGGATATGAACAATTTCTTCCCCTCTGAGGCCTGACAAGTTTTAAAACAGATAACCCAGGAAGAAAGGCCAGGTCGTGAATGACACCACACCAAGTCCTCCAGGAAAATTCCTTGTCTCTAAAGAGGAGTTTTTCTTCAAAGGACTGACATAGATGGAGGATTGAGTCCCACCTTTTCATTTACTTCTTCCTTTCTCTTTCTGAGCTCTCACCCTGCCCAGGAGAAAGACCTAAAGGGTCCACTGTAATGCTCTACTCACCTTGGGTTTTCTCTCAGAAGCTTCCCCTGAATGGCAAATAATCACTTGAAGTTGACACCAGATGCTGGAATGTTCCAGAACAGTGTTTTGAGTTGGATACGTATTTTGTACTTAGCGTCCACATAAACCTACGTGTTGCAATATGTTCTTTTTGTCAAAGTTGGTATCAACAGCATGGTTGGGATGGGGGCTGCATGATGCCCATTAGCTAGTTGGCTGCATTCTCACTTCTCAGCTGCCCCTCTCGGCATCATGGATATAAAACCCAACCCTGGCCTGCCCCGTACAACACTTACTGAGTTGCCATTTTCAAGCCAGTCGTTGAAGACAGGCAGTAATGGGGTGAGGTGGCGCTTGGGCTTTGGCTAGAGAGTGGCATGATCCAGGAAGACAGGCTTCTTGGGAGGCCACGGGTGTGGGGTTCTCTCCACCCCTTCCCTTCCTTCCACTGCACCTTCATTTTTCCTCCTGGTCACATTTCACTTCTTTTGATTCCTGGGATTCAAAGAACCCCTGAAAATGAGGGGTTAAACCTGGAATCAATTTCCACTTACAGCTGAGAAGCAGTTATTGATGCTGTGCTTGCAGTTCAATAAAAGATCTAAAGATAGAGACCTTGTGCTTCTCTTTCAATATAAGCAGCCTAATCAGTCTCAAATGTTTTTTTAACAAAGAAATTGAATTGACAGGTTTATTAAAATTGCTGTCTTCAAAGTTTTAAGCTAGCCACAATTTGACCTATTCCAAAAGCTTCTAGAATGTGTGGTGGCCAAACTGCAAAGTTCCTTCCAGCATGTATTCATAGAACGAGGGAAGCACCTGCTTAACGTTTCCTTGAATGCTGTCACCATGTGTGATGCCTGCGGCTCTGGGCACGCAGTCAGCTGTACTCCGGTGGCAGGACGATCCGTGGTGCCTGGGTTCTGAAGCCAGGTTAGATCTGGGCATGGCTCTCTCATGCCCCAGTCATCTCAGGCTGACTTTAGAAGCAGTCTGAAGGCCGTGAAACAGACAGGTATTGTTAAGAACCACCTTTGGGCATTTTCATCCTAATACCATGTTGTTATTAAGGTGACTCAGACTGGAGTCTTACGTGAGTTCCTTTAGCCCTGTCAGAAGCTTGGAAAATGGGTACCATGACTGGAA